AGAGCTCCAGTGTTTCAAGGTGGATGGCCTGAGCCTCGGGGGGTCAAGAGCCCCAGGCATGTTGGCTGGGCAAACATACATGACTAGTGTGGATAAGTGGGGACCAGACTCTGATGTTGACATGCACACAGCCTGCTGGGATGTGGCTCTTTCTTTGGGTAGCATTTTATTTAGGACTGAACTGTCCCCATGACGACAATACATGAGCCTTTTGCTATATGCCCTCCAGTCCTACGGTATGCCTTGTTCATTAACAAAATACTTCTGATGTCTCCATCTGTCGCTGGGCAACAAACCTTAGAGAGATACAGCTCATAAATGTGAGGACCCTTGTATTAAAGGGTTTGAGGCATTCGGAGATACAAATAAAAAAGTTGCTATTGTGTAAACCAACAGTAAAAGAGACAAACCTGTATTATCTTAGAGTCTGTATGTGATACCATATGTGGCTACAAAGATCAAAAACTCTACCTGACTTCAAAATCTGACTAAAAAAACGCCATCTTTGTCGTCTCCTTGCGGATTGACACACTGATGCTCGATCTTCCGTCATGCTTGGAATGCTCCCTGGAAATCCCATTCTGTGAGCTCATCAAGGACCATCTGCGATGTGCGCTGAAACGGCAATCCTTCAACTTGAATTTCAATTTAGGGAAGAGGAAGAAGTCACAGGGAGCCAAATCTGCTGGTTAGGATGGGTGGGGAGCAGGGCTTTGTTGGTTTGGCCACAAAACTCAGAGGTTTTTGATGCAGGTGCGTGAATGGAGGTTTCAATGAAGCAACCAGCGCCACTGAGCCACAGTTCAGGTCTTTTTGTTGCCCTTCAGACTGTTATGTTGACAGTCCAACCCTGAGGGATAGATTCAACGTGAACATATCCAGGGAATGTTGAAGAAAACGTCAAGCCCTCTTTTTGGTCTTTGGACACTGTGGGCTCTTTCACTGCTTCTTGGTCGCAGCAGTGAACCCATCACCAAAAGATGTTCATCCACATCCAGCTTGGGTTAGGGACGGCTGACAGAGATCTGCAGATGTATAAAGGGTGCAGCCTCAGAAGTCAGGAGTCTGCATGCCAATTTGCCAGTGATAAGATATCACACAACTATATTCACAGGCTCAGCGTTTTTTTCACACATGACCAGTAAATGGACATGTAGCGTCAGTGGAGTGCACCATTAAGGGAGCATTAGTCCACATCCAAACACTGGTGTCCATTAGTGAAGGTTGGCTATAAAAGGAAGACAAAATATACGCCTGAACAGCTTAGCGCCTCTGTCTGATTAACTAGTTTATTTTCCTCTCTGTTGTGTATCAGATTTTCTTGAGTGCCAGGTCTGATAGCATTGTTTCGCCGTCTTTTATATCAAGCAAAGAGAACAGTCGTGGGAACGAAGCGAGCGCGATAATGATGGTGAGGGAGAAGAGGATGGCCCAGCTGTTTAATCTATCCCTCCCCAATTTTCATGCAGAGCAGGCTTCAGCTGGTGGGGAGAAAAGCGAGAAGAAGGAAGTTTCGCTGCTTCACTCAGAATGACTTATTTCTCCAAGGATCCGACTGCAAACAGATGCAAACAAACAAAGCAGGACACTGAGGAATTCAGATTTTCTGACACTGCAGAGTTAAGGACACAAATACCTACCCAACACGACTTTGTGGCTTCTTGCGTTGTTTTTCCTGTGGCTGTCCGTACATTTTTTTTTTCACTCAAATTAAACTTACAGTCGCATTATGCTCTCTGTGTTTTCCATCAGTTCCCCTTTTCTTCCCCTTGTCCGTCTTTTTGTTCTGAGTAGAAACACAGAGCCATTGTTTGGTGATTCGTTCGCTGCCTTTGGTTGTTGATGAGGATGTTGTCACTCATTCCTGTTTGCCAGGGAAAGAGCACACACACATTTGCATACAGTACACACACACTCTTCGCTCTCAGAATTTATTAGTTTGCCCGCTGCACACTTAGTCAGATTATGGGTGTGTGTGTAGTAATGAATGGCATTGCCTGTGTCACAATGTACTACATTTAATCTCCTGGTAATAAACTCACTGTTAGCAGGAAATGAAGAAGGATAGAAGGATAAAATGGAGTGAAGGTAAACAAAACAAAGGAGGGAATTAAGGGAGCAAGTTAAAGGAAGGAAGGAGGAACAGCAAGAGTTTGGTTGAAGAAGACATTTGGGGGGAAAGACAGAGGGGAGGATGGGACATAGTGAAGAGAGGAAAGGCTGAAGAAGGAACGATAGAGATGGAGGGAGTTTGGAAACAAGGAGGTGGTGAAAGTGCAAGGAGAGAATGGGGCATGGAAGGTATCAGGGAAAAAGAAATCAAAATGGGTTTTGGCAGGAGGGTGAGAGAAAGGACAGAATGAAGCGTGGATGAAGGATTGTTTTAGAACAAGGGAGAGACAAGCAGAGAAGAAGAGTGGTTAGATGGAAAGGAGCATGCAAGAAGAAATGAATAAGTGAGTAAGACAAGGAAAAGGGATTAAGGAAAGAGCGATGGCAGCCAGACAAGAAGGGAAAATTTCCATGGAAAGAGAACAGAGAGGAAGAGCTCGTGTCCTGGGTGTCGTGTTGAACACCTGCCACTAGAGGGAGAACTTCATCCCTCCGGTTGCTCCTCATTATCGACGATTATTTAGCTGATAAAATGGATCCTGCGCGGGATTAAGTTACTGGAAGTGGCTGCCTCGGTGTGATTCAGGCAAGAAAGTTAGAGGAGGGAGGAGATTTAGTCAGGATTTGAGGACGAGATAGCAGATGCAGCAGTAGGAGGAGAACGTACAGGCACAGGATTGATTCATCTTACCAAGGACTACTGCCTCCCACTATTTTCCTTTCGCTCTGTTATTATTTTGATCGCCTTTTCTCTGCAACCCCCACCACACCCCTCTCATTTCTCCCATCTTTCCCTCTACCCTCTCTGCTGCCAGCAGCATCTGCCTCTCCTTCTCTAATTCAGTGATTGCAGCAGAGTGCCCATGTCATTACTAAAGCAGGGCTGCATGTGCGCTGTAATTGCTGCACTGCCTTTTTCCAGAAGGCAGAGCGGTACCTAGCTAATCTTAAGTGCAATGTGAACACATGCATGTAATTGCCGCAATAAAGGTTTCTTTTTAATTTAGAACAATTTTGTGTTGCAGAAAAAAAACGTGTGTAATCACGGGCAGACCACTTAGAAAATATGAAGACCGAAACGCCAACATTTTCCTTTTCTGTCAGTTTCTGCTGGTCTGCACCTGTGACTCAGTTCTCACCCAAAGAAACACGGAGCTACAGGTGCAGTGACACCGAGTCAGAGGTGCACGGCAGCCGTTAATTGTGCTTGTCCTCAACATTCTTCTCCATCCATCTGCCAACGATAATTCATCCCAGCCTTTCTCCTTTAAACTGATTCCCTTCCCCGGTTCGGCTCTCATTATCTTTTTCGCAGCGGCCCTATTGCCCACGCACAAACAGCTGTGTCTGTTCATATACAGTATGCACACGTGCAAACACATCTCCTCTGCCTATATGAGCCATTTTTGCGCAGGCAGGCGTGGGTAGAGAGACCCCTGGGGAGTGGAAGTAGGTACTGCAGAACTGAGAGGTGGTCTATTTTAGATCACTGCAGCAGCACGGAGCAGTGGGGGGGGGTGGGGGCAAAATCAAAGTCTACTAGCGAGGATGCAGGATGCACTTCTTCTGTTTGCTGTTAAGACATTGATCCTAAACTCTCCCTCAGTCTCTCACTTGTCTCTTTGCAGATGAATTCATCAACCTCGTGTAAACTAAAATCCAAACTGTATTTTTACCGCAGCAAGCGACGCATTTTGATAGAATTTTTCACGCATGCATATCGAAAGTTGGATAATTCCCAGAAAATTGTGGTGACAATCACATATTCCTCATTTTTGGGAACCTCCCAGAACGTCACCCCTCTTCAAGGACACTAGGGGATTCCCTGACCTGATTCTTGATTCACTGTGCTAGCATAACTCTCTAATTTTTAGCCTGTAATCTGAAAAGATTGCCGTTTGACACAGACAATAACTCCTAATTAATCCTCTGACATTGCCACCACATTAGACTTCATCAACCCTCCCCCTCCTCTCCCCCAGCCTGGCCACCATCAGCTCTCATCTCCCCCTAATTCCAGCTCGGTCTCTATTGACAGTGCTGGAGATGTACGCAGTATGACCCCGAGGTTGATTGAAGTGAAGTGAGGGATAATAAGTTTGCACAGCAGCGATGAAACTTCTTTGACACGCTGATGAAGTGATGCTAATTGCCAAGTGCCACTGAGAAGTGCTCCATTAATGCACAGGAAGAAAAAAAAACCTGAGAAAAACAGAGCGTTAACAGTTTCACTAAATCCTTTTTCACTTTAGTTGAGGTACAGGAGTCGAATTCAGAATGAAGTGATGCTCCACAGGCAGAATGCCATCCTGTTGTTGGATTTGCTAATCAGCAACACTGTGTGCAATGGGAATGAACATGTCTTCCTTGAAACAACCATGAAATGTGTTTTAGGACTGTGTGATTATCTCATGCTAATGTGAAATAACAATGGTTTATTGCTGACTCTGAGATGTCTTTTTCTCTGCTTTATTCCTTCACAGTGTAGTGATTCTGTTGTTCAGTGACTGCTGGTTCTGTGTGCAATTCTAGCTTAACTTACTTCACTACTGCTAATGCTTTTCTAAAGTGTATTCACTTTGCGAATCATAAGTTAGCCCTTCAACAAATGTAATCAGACTACATCTAAATAATTCATAAATCTGTTTAACTTGTTAGTACATTTTAAAAATCATTTAAACTCAAGGTAACTAGAATGCTGTTAACTTGTCTAACCTAACAAATCAGCCCAAAAACACATCCTCAAGTTCTTCCTGTCCTAACTAAAGCTGATTTTAAAGTACATAACTTGCTAAACATTTGCCATGTTGCCCTTCTAACCTCTAACCTTTCAGCTTCCAGATTTCTTTGTAACCTTTCTTAATTTGTCTTCTCCAAATTTCTTAAAGGGAACTTTGATAATGAGCGCCTGGCTATTGCTAGACAAAGAATCCCATACCGACTTGGTCGGGTAGTTGACGAGTGGCTACTCGACAAAGGTAATAAAATCCCTTTAACTCAACTAATGATCTAACCGTCTAACCTACCGTTAACCACCACTCTGGAGGAGGTGCAGTGCCATGCAGCAAGGGTGAATGTGATTTGGCTCTTTAACAGAAATATAGGTCCCCTAAAATCCACTGCAGACTTACCAAACCCAACAATGACTGACTGATACGTCATTAACCAGCTCCTTTCAGTTGGTCTATTTCTCCAGTGGTAAGAAACCAAACTGGGAATGAGATATTGTTGGACATTTTTGTTTTCTATTACAATTAGTTTTACAACTTATTGTCAGTTAAAGCTGTCCACTCAATTGGCATTTCAACCAATTTACCCTCTATTGTTTAACACCACGCTCAAACGTTGGTGTGCACGTATCCAGGGGACCTTAAACCAAAGCACCTTAAACTGGGGCTGCATCTCTTCAGAGAATTAACCCCCAAATAACCCAACATAACCCCCTAATAACCTGACCACATGTAAACAGCCTACTGATTCCGTTTGCTTCTTTCCTGTGTCTTTTGTTGGCTGAATGTGAACTTGTATTGAATATATTTAATCACTCATGAAATCAAGCAAAAAAAAAAAAAAAAGAAAAGATTTTTGAAGAAAAAGAATCCCCCATGAAAGTCACTAAAAGTTAAAGGGACTGTTGAAGTGTTTGTTCAGTGACAAATCTACATTCATTGCAGCGTGTGGGCGCCTTTTACCTGCCCGACATCATGCATAACTAGTGCCAGAAGTGTCGAATGTGGTCCCATCAAAGTGATGATACTTTAACCCTTTGAGTGCCGAATGTCCCAACCTCTTTGTCTTTGTCTTGTGTCGTGTGTTTGTGCTGCTGAAGGTGGTTGATTCTTTAAAAAAAAAAAAAGGCAGAGGGATAAATTCGACAGCTAAATGGGGCTGAGTCACAAAATAGTTTCTGTTTGGTAAAAGCACTGCAGACTCTCATTTCTCTAGAAGAAGCTGGAAACAAGAGCATTAGCAGAATAAAAAGCAGTATAGGGATGAGAATCTATAAATAAATGGATATTTCTGCTGGAGATTGTCTGAATGTTAAAACCTCTGAGACTTAACAGCAATATTTGCATTTGCTTTTCTACTTGCATGAGATATGTATTGAGATTACCATGAATTAAACGTTTCAAGCTAATTAGCTTCAGGGGTTCCTCTGACAAGGTATCATGAACAATAGCACATGCAGGGATGAATTCAGGAGATAAAATGTGTCTGTGAGAACAAAATGAAGTATTCATGCATCAGACAAACAAGATAAATGAAGCGCTTGCATATTTATTTCATGGAAACAAAACAATCCTAGCATTCATCTCCAGCTCTTATAAAATGACTTCTCTGCTCTCCTCCGGTGCGTCGGGGAATGCACTTTTGCTGAGGGTAGTTAGGACACAAATCAGAATTAAAAAGGCTGAGGAGATGAAAGTTGAATGAAAAAGTGGATCAATAAAAAATGACTTACCCACTTATGAAATGATTTGTGCATGCTATGAAACTCTAAAGAGAATGAGCTTGAAACTGAATGTATTATTCTCTTTCTTCTATAGTTTGAAATGAGTCTGCATCCAGTCATTTAGATGAGAGCATCGGGAGAAAGTAGGCAGGAGAAATAAACAAATAACCCCATCAAATCTCAAGTGCAGGCTTTGATCAGGGTGCGTCTTCAGAATGCAAAAATGAGCAAGGTCGCTTATTTGTTAATATGATTGGATTCATTAAAGAGATGTCAGACACACGTCATGGACCGAAGAGGCAAAGTGGTTTTGGAAGATGCTGCTCGTCCAAACGACACCCTAGTTTAGATAACGAAGGGGATTAGCGGACATTTCCGAGCTCAAAGGGTTAAAGCTGTTTGTTGCTTTGATAAGGAAGCGGATAGAACTCAAAGCTAAGAAACATCTAAGCAGAATCTAACCACCTAACAGCAAATCAAACTCCACCCACACTAACCGCTGAGGGCTTCTCTCATCACTCTCCATCATCAACGGATGTAAATTGAACCGATTGGACGGACTTTCCAGCTTTGCCCCGCTGGTGACAAATTCAGAGAGCCCTCAGTTATAACCTTGTTATAAATGATGTTTAACATTTAATTGGACCCGGATGTCAGTTATTTGGAAGAACTTGGACAGGTTGCGGCGATCGTTCGGGACAACAACAACAAAAAAAACAACTAAACAAAAAGCTAACAATGTTCTAACTCCTGCTAAAAGAAACAAATCTCCAAGTGATGACGTCTTCCCATTGTCTTCACCTCCATGTAACGCAAAACTCAGAGGGTTAAAACAAAGCAAATGAATGAACCCCAAATTCAACACCTGCTCTGGATCATTTTAAGTGTTTAAAGGTCCCTTTAACATTTATTGTTTTCACCACTGAGGAAATGAATGTATTGTATTTCAGTGTATTCTTCTGTATGTCATTGGCTATGCAGGGTGAATGATGTATTTGAATGTGAGTTGCACACTGTCATGTGTGGTAAACAGTCTGGATCATTCGTTCTCTAATGGTCCAGGCTGCGTTGCCAATATGGGGTTTTGGTCTCCAGTCTCTGGTGATGTTCTTACATTAGAGGGTCTCAACATGCTTCAGAGTTCCTGATCACAGTGCAGAAAATAATCAGCCCCGTGGGTCTCCTCTTCAAGCACCTTTAGCGTTTCATCAATTCTGTCAAATTCGGCAAGCACGGAAAACCTCCACGTCCTTCAAATCTTGTAAGTGCTGGAACAGTGTTGTTCACCTCGACACTCTGTGTGTGTTGGACAGAAGCAAAACGAGGGTGCTAATTGCTCACATTCACCCTTTCAAATCAGAATTTTAGTCACACCAGGACACAATGGAAGTCATTGAAGCCAGCAGTGTCCTAGAGAAGAGCGACGCTGTGGTGCTGCACTGTCTCACCACATCTCATTCTGAAGCCCTTATTCCATCTTCCCTACTGTGTGTGAGGCAGATCAGAGTGAGCATCTCTGGCCACTCTGTGCCTGCTGACTAAATCCAAAACGGCAGCCATTACAGAGACCCAATGGAGGGGAAAAATCCCGAGTCCCAAAAGTTTTCAACAGCTCTATCAGACACAAAACTTAGTCAGATGCGTCCACGTTTTTTTTCTTCTCCTTGTGATGGATCTGTCATCTCAGGTTTTCTCCTCTCAAGCTGTCTAACAGTCAGTCTTCTTGGACCATCAAGCCTTCACAAAAACAAACAAAAAAAAAACCTGGTGAACATTCTCCTAAGTCAATGCAGGTTTTTATTGTTCCTGTAGAAACAATAATAACGTGCCACAGCTTCCTCATCTCAATAGGGAGCTCCACTAGAAAATACAGATTACAAATAACCAACAAGAATCAATGTCCCATAGGTGTTCCCTTTAGCAGATGGGCAACGAAGCGATAAAGCTCCCAGAAGAATTGGAGCTTTACATCTTCTTCTGGCGAGGAGCCTGTCCCTGTAGAGCTCTCCAGCACTTCGACGATCAAGCTCCGAGTTGAGCTACATGAGTTCAGGGAGGAGAAGAGAGGAGGAATACTAGGACGCCAGGTCTCTGTGGCCTAAAAAAGCAAGCTGGAGAACCAGGTTTAATGTTCAGTGTGTAATGGTCTGGTGTGAGCTCCCCCATTCCCTAATCGAAAGCAATCAAGTTCTCCCACTTGGTGTGGGGCCAGAGCCCAAATCAAATCTCCAGGCCAGGCATTGGTCCAGATCTGCTATTCATGATCGCGGCTTCATTTCAGAGATTCTCTCACATCTGGCTGCAGTCAACAGAGAGCAAATCCGTCTGAGCGTCTTTCAGCAACTCCATGATGAGCTTTGCATCCCGCTGAGTCACTATCTTGTTTTCCCATTTGATCTCTATGCACTATTACGGCCGTATTTGAGGGAAATAGAGGGAAACCGAATGAATTTTAACGTGCTTGCTCATGAGTGGCGAAGTGGCAGCAAAAGAAGCGCCTCCGTAGCTGGAAAGTAGGGACTCTTTACAGTTATTTCATGGTTCCCTACCATGAAATGGCCTAAAAACAGCGCAGTCACAGCTGGAGAGAATAAAAGGAGAGAAGATTGTCCCCAGCTAACCACCGTGCTATCTCTCTTTGTGTCTCCCTCGACAGTATCACTTGTTTAAGATCTACATACAGATATAAGATCAGATATCGAGCCACATCTGATTAAATCCAAGCTAGTGTCTCCAGAGTCCTGCAAATTTGCCGCCACAATCTCAGCGCCCTCAGCTGCCTTTAAGGACCTCAGGGCTCCACGCTGCCTCCCAAGGCTTTCAGTCTATCTTCATGCCACATTTGGCCCCTCATCTCCATTGTCAAACACAATTAATTCATAGTGTTTTACCCGAACCAGCCCAACTTCTGAGGAGTAAAAAAGCAAAACGCTCTTAATTACCAAAGAGAGCCTTGTGCCGAGGAGATAACTTGGGAACACTTCATAATCGACTTTGTCAGCATCCCACCCTAGCCCCATTGTGCTCCAGTCTTCTTTGACTTTCTCCCTCCTTCTTCTCTGTTTTTTTTTTTTTCTTAAGAGAAAGAAAATGGAAATAGGGGGAGTTCTTGTTTGTTGATACAGATACTAGAAATTCTGCAGGCGCGTGAAGGATTTGTGAACACAAACCCATAAAGACTCTGCGTGCAAACGGTCCAACGTTCTGTTCTGCACGCCACAAAGCGGTGTATTGACAGAGGTGAATTCTGGGCCATGCCTCCCACCCTGCAACTCGGCTGAAGAGAAAACATTTCAGATAGAAGCTCCTTCCAACCGCATGGCATCCCTCCTCTATGTGAGATAACAAAAGTGGAAGGAGGATGAGAGAAGTGTAATGATGACGGTGGTGGGAGAAAGATACCGCTCTCACCGGCTGCAGTGCTTTTCATATCCCCTAATATACGCTTAGATCATCCTTTAGCCCACCTCCCAAACCTTTCTGCCCCCCCCCTCAAACAACCACCTCCTCCAGGTTAGCTGATCA